CGGCATTGTTAGTGCTCTGGTACGCCTGTTGCTCGCGTACGTCACCGAGCAGGGTGCTCATGGTGCCCCTATTGGCTGTGGAGTTTCGTTTCTGCCCTGGAGGCACGGCAAAGTGAGTGGCAGCCAGTCGCAGGGCGTGTGGGGAGCGACTTTTCGACGCCCACGCCACCTCCCACACTTGGAGAAGTTGCCGGGGTTCCCAACGCCTGGCGTGATCAAGATCCACCGCAAATCGAAGCGGCCATCTGGATCTAGGTGAGATTGGGCCGTTGTGTCGACAGGCCATGATGCCCCACCCCCTGGCGGACAAGCGACGCCGCTGGACCCCCCGGATGGGAACCGTGACCTTGCCGCCTCTCAACGATGCGTGCTTCCAGGGCTTGAACGAGGCGTCTTCCCCGTCACTGGCTCGGGAGGGTTGATGGGGCCACCCAGCCCCAGAGGCCTGCTGACGTCCCGTCCGCAAGCTCCTTCAGCTGGCGCAGGAAGTCGTCATCAGCGACAACCGGACGGGCGCACAAATTGGGGTCGTCCGATCGACCCTCACTTCCCTCCGCACAAACCCACCGCAGGGGCCCGAAGCAGCAAGGCGCGGATATGCACCAAAAGCAAAAGGCCAAAACGCGCCAGTCACCACAGACCCTGGGCTGACCGATGTCTTGTCTTGGTACCCTACTTCCTACAGGGCTATCAAGCCGCCAGATGCGACCGTCGGTAAAATCGTCAGAAGCGGTTATTGGACTTTGTGGCTGAAGACAACGGCTCGCGACCCATGACAGGGTCGTCAAGGTTTGGCGCGACGGAATCTGCAGGGCTGCTGGTCGATGCGACCGCTGTCATCTCAGCGAGCACAAAACTCTGTCGAATTGTTGGTAATTCCCGTCTTCTTTTGCCTTTCTCAATGTCCGTTGTCCATGTTCTCGTCGGTGTGAGTGATGGCGGCGCATAAGCTGGCAATCATGTGCCCCAAAGATCTCCAGGCGTGGCGCGTCCCGAGCGCGTTTCAAATGCCACTGTTAGCGGCTGAGATTGGCAGATCCCAACTACACCCCGGTATCGTGCTACTGCAAGAACTGCGAGATGTGTCCGGGCTCGGCTGATGCCGCTCGACGACGGCAGGCAAAGCAAATGGATGCCCATGTTGTCGAATTCTGCGATGTTGCCGAGTGCAACGGTACCTACGATAAGAGTAGACAGGAGTCGCAAGTTCGTTGAGGGCGGGCGTCCGAGACTGATGACGGTCTCGGGGGTGATCATCCCATTGACAGTGCAGATGGGGCCTGGGCTTCAAAAGACCCCAGAAGCGATCCACCTTGGTCCCCGTCAAGTCTGGGCGAGACCTGTGTCCGGTGTTGTGCAAGCACGGTACGATCGCGGCAGACGGAATCTTGAGCCATGGGTGTCCAACCGCGTGGTGACGTCGTGCCGTTGGGAAGTGTACGGAGTAACTTCACTTAGTGTGTGCAAGCTCGAGTGGATATGCCACCTGTTGGCAACGTGCCGGGCAATCCACACCACGCGGAACTGGAGGTGCGCAGGGTCGATTTGCACTGACTTGAATGTCGTACTCGTCTGCCTCCAAGCACATATCCTGTCGTGTACTGTTGTCTGTTGGCACGGGAAGCGACACGGGTGAGGCTGGCAAACCCCCTTGACCTTGTTGATCAGCTGCCTGCGTGTGCCGGATGCTCCAGGCAGGAGACAAGAGTTTCCCAGCCGAGCATTCTTACGAAGGCCACAGGCAGCCATCTGTGACTGACTGCTGGGGACAGCGGCAACGGCGAGGATGGCCCGAGTTGTGAAGGTGGCTTGCGACACGGTGCGTCTTGTGCACGAGTCGTGCAGAGGTGTAGAAGCGAATAAAGGCAAGCGTCGTCTCAGATCGCAGATGGCGGCGAAAACCCCGGCTGTGCCCGGGCGGTGTTCGGGGCTGGCCCCTTTCAGTGTGCAAGACGAAGCGCGAGGAAGGGTATGGCCATTGCAGAGCTGTGGGTTGGGTGCGAGCGAGAGGCACGACGATGACCAGACACGCGCCATCGAGACACGAGCGATGGGGGGACAGTACCTCGTACTTCGTGCCCAACGGAGTACTTCTTTCAGGCGCCAGGGTCGAACCTGCCTCATGGAATCGCGAGATCTGCATAAGGTTGGCAGGCAGGCAAGGCAGGGGCCACCGCATCTGGGCACTCGCTGTACTTTGTACCTCGCAAGTCTCGTACTGCACTGCGCCAGGTCATACGGTACCTTACAGGTAGGTACCATAGTTCTCGACGGTGGGAGGCGTGGAAGGCCGCCGGGAGGTTGCCCAAGACGAGCAGAAGATTCGAGCGATATAGTACCGGACGAGAAGCGCATGCGCAGAACGCGCTCGAGGCAAGATGACAACCTGGGGTACCAAAAACCTGCACCGAGTGAGCGGCTCACGTACCGGGAGGCACGCTCGTGCACCCGCTGGAGTACGTGTCCCGCCCCTCGCGCGCCCTCCCGAGTGCAAGGCCACACCGATCTGACAGCATCGCCTCTGCACCAAGGGCAAGCCCTGTCTCTGCTTGGCCTGCTCCCAGTCGCGACCGGATCCGTCGAGATCTCGTTTCCCACTGCATCCAGTGGCCGATTGCCGCCGGGGTTGCAGCGGCGCGCCAAACACGCACCCTGCACCCCCCAAGCGGGCAAGCTTCCCGTGCAGACGCGGACGGGTGGCCTTGGGGCAAGGAAGACTGTCGGTCGTGCGGCCTCGACGACCAGACTGGCCAGGTGTTGCTGCTTCGAGAGACACCTCACCAGCCTCGAGGCACTGTGATGGCGGAGGTACGGAGTACTTTGATGCAGTGCGAGTCGCAGCAGATAGAGTGGCGCCCGCGTCAACGGCCTCGGACCCTCGGCCAGACGAGAAACACGCCTCTGCACTTTGACCTTGCGTGGAGCATGGGAATCAAGGCGGAAGAATGAGGCGAGGATCCCAGGGCGGCGGGCCTCTCGGCCGACTGCCATCCAAATCCCAAATCGCTTCGAGCGTCATGATGCCAAGGCGAGCGAGGCTTACAATAGCATTCTTGGCAGCACATCCTGGCTTCAGTTCTGCACGCGACGGGGAGGCGGAGGCTCATGTCCACGTCCATCTTCCACGCCGACATTCCAGCGCGGTGTGCTGCGCAGGCGCACCAGCCCACGGTGGGCACCAGGGCCAGCGTCCTGCGTCCGTCTCAGGGGTGGATGAGGTGGATGTACATGAAAGGGACTGACGGATGGGTGAAAAACAGTGTGGATGGATGGCCGCTGCCCGCCCCCAAGGCCCCCCAAAACCGCAAAGGCCCTCCTCCATCTGACCTGGCTTGTCTACCTACGCTCGCGGGAGGGCGTCTAGGCTCACACCGCCGCGCCCACATGACGAGCAGACGCCTCATCAGCGGCATCCTGTCCACCCACCCATCCCCGGCGGGCTGTCCGCCGTCAGTGCGAAGCGAGCTGCACGTCCTGCGCTCGACGTACCGGCACGCCTGTGAGCGTCTGCCCTGGGTAAGGCAGCTTGGCAACGCCGAGGTTCGCGATGGGTGCGGTGTTGCGAGAGGTGGTTGATGCGGCGCCAAGTCAGGGAACCTTACCTTACCTGCGAGGTATACTCGTAGGTCTTGGACGCTCCGCTAGCGGCCGCGACAGTGCCAGCGCCACCGCCGGCGACGACGATGGCAGCGATCGGTAGGTGCCTCTTGCAGGCGCGGGCTGCAGTTGACCGAATGTGACAGCGCGAAAGCCAGTTAGAGCAGCAGTGACGGGAAGGGGAGGGGTTCTTGGGAGTGCATCGCGGTGCAGCGCCCAGGTGGTTCATTGATCCGTCCCACGTTGCGCGCCCCCTCCAGCCGCGAAGCCAAAAGTGGCCGCTGGTGCCATGCATGCAAATCCACATCCACATCCACATCCACATCCCCATCGACGCCGCCCCCCCCCATGTCGGTCGGTTAACTAGAGCACCCCCAAAAAACGCACAGAGACAAGTGCAATCCAGTGCCGCGGATCTCTGGACCAGGGGTCCCACTGGGCGCCGGGCGCTACGGAGCGCACTCGGAGCACTCCCATTTTCCCTTTCCAGTGGACCCAAGTTGCCGCCCGCTCTCATGGACGAGGTGTCTTGCTCGCTGCCCTGCCCTGCCCTGCCTGGCCTTTGCCTCGCAGAACGGACACCAGCTGCCAGAGGCGACTGGCAGGGCCACTCGCTGGCCCTGGGCCGTAGCAGGCGTAACGACGGGACGGGAGGGGTGCTGGACGAACGGGACGGACTATTGGTGCGCAGGGCACACTCCGTCAGTGCTGGACCCCAAGTCAGGCCAGGCCCAGCCCGTCCACTGGTACCCGGTACTGCGCTGAACCGTCAGCGGGACCACCTGAGGTACCGGTACTAGCGCTCGCTCGCCTAGGTAAGCACGGCAGCAGGAGCAGCACCAGCACCAGCACCAGCTGGAGCCACCTGGGCAGCCAGGACGACCCGACGACACTGGAGGTGGCCGAACCCCCCTCCCTCCCACGCAGCGCCCACGCACCATCCACGCAGCACCTCCCCACTGTCTCCATCGCGCCGCCCGCCGCCCGCATCACCCCAGCGGTCCCAGCCCGGCGCACCAGCCCATCCCATGGATCCCAGCGCACCAGCGCTGCGGCAGGTCGAGTCGGTGGGCCCCTGGTTCATTGGCCAGAGCTGCTGAGAGGAGGGCCCTGCCTGCCCTGCCCTGCCCTGCCTTGCCTGGGTGCGTGCGGTGCATGCGCTGCGAGGCACTGCCTGCTGGCCCCAGCATCCTATCCCACGCCATGCCACGCCATGCCATGCCATGCCATGCCATCCCAGGCCATGCCATGCCATCCGCCATCCACCATCCACCATCCCATCCCGCCAACGCCACCACGAGGAGTCGCCATCGCGTCAGATCTTGACTAGCCCCGGTTGAACCTGGCTGGGCTCTCCAGTGGCTTGCTGGGGCAATCGGTACTTTTTATTATTCCTTTTATTGCTACCCATTATCCCGTATTCCTCTGCGCTCTCCTCGATCCCGCGCCCTTTCCTTCTTCAAACCCTTCCCTTTTTTATTTTTATTTTTCTTTATCTCGCCCCCCCAGGCACATACATGCCCCCTCCTCCCGCCAAACACACCCCCCACCTCCCAGCACCGCTTGCTCGTCGGTTCTGGATTCCGCCTCCAACTCAGACCTGCAACCGCTCCTGACTTGGTCTGGCCTGGCCTGACCTGACCTGACCTCACCTCTCTTGACCTGACCGGCCTGACCTGGCCGCACTCGACTCGACTCGACTCGACTCGATTCGACCCGCGCCGACCCGACCTGATCTGATCTGATCTCATCTGGCCCGATCGCCTGCCGCCCGCCCGTCTTCCTTTGGCTCTGCAGCTCGCACACCTCTGCACCACGTCTGCGTCTCTGCATCGGAAGAAAGCTCTGCGCACGCCTCTGCAACGTCGCCTCGTCTCGCCCGTTGCGCAGTTCAGATGCATCGGCGGCCCTAACGTGCGCCAGATCCTCCTAGGTCCTTGCCACGCGCGCTATGGAACCGGGTGACTCTGGATCCCGCCAAAGGTCCGTCTCACATTCCTCCTACCTGGCTGCCGCCGGCCAGACGTCTGTCTGGCTTGTCTTGTCTCGCGCGTCCCACCGCCTCGCATATTAACATATACCCCTTCGCCCCAGTCTTCACCCATCGTCTGCCCCCAACCCTGAGCAGCACCACTCGCAACCGCAGCAGCATCACCACCACCATCATCAACAGCCGCCGCCGCCGCCGCAGCAGCAGCAGCAGCAGCATCACCACCACCCCTCACGGGTATCCCAGCCGCCGCCGCCGCCATCGTCGTATCCTCCCCAGCGCGAGCAACACGACCGGCGCTACCCGCAGGAGCAGCCGCCCGCCATGGCCACGGCCACCGTCCTCGCACCGAGCGCCCACTACCCAACTCAGACCTCGTACTCGTCCGGCTACCCCCAGCATCCTCCGCCCGCAGCCGCCAACTCGAGCAACATGATGACCACGGAGCCGCGCCGATCATCCGACGACAACGAGTCGACCGGTCGCCAGTCGCTACCGTCCATTTCCGAGGTCATCTCGGGCGCGCGACCTGGCCAGTATCCGCCAGCCCACGCTGGCTTGCAGTCGGGCCCGGGACTGCCCTCTCCCTTCACCCAGGCCAACCACCAGTATCCTGAAGCCGACAAGCGATCCTCCCCGCAACCTGTGCATCCGGCGTCGGGCTTTCCCCAAAGACCGGAGCCTCTACCCGCCCTCACGGACTCGCCACGGCCGCCTTTCACCGGCCGCCACAGCCTGCCGCCGGTGTCTGACCGACGTCCCACGCCTCCAGCCAAATCCGAGATTGCACACCAGCATGCCGCGAAGCCGTCCGACTCACATCCCCAGAACGGCGCCTATGCACACCCGCCGCCGCCGCCTCCCCCGGCACCGACTTCTCATCCAACCTCGCACCCATACCAGCCAGGTCAGCTCCCACCTGGCCAGGTGCCGCTCCCTAACTACCCCATCTCGCCACGCCACGGTGTCCCGATTGCCCCTGGCCACTACGATCCCCGCGGCCAGCCTGTGCATCCCGACGATGCAGACTTCGCCAACCGAGCACGATACGATCCGTCGTTGAGCCGGCACTTTGAGACGTGGAACTACCAGGACTCCTTGAGTCGAGTACGTGCCGTCACATTCACGGTCTATGGTCTGGCAGCATACTTACGTGCCACAGATTGGGTCCTCCTCCCGCACCATCTTCAATTTCGCCGAAGCATATACCCGAATCGCACGGGAGCAACATGGGTCGCAACCCATCCCCCAACGATTGCCGACGGATCGAGAAGTCTCGGAGATGCTTGCAAATGTCGACTTGATCAAGCGCTCTCTCGAACAGGTCAAGGACGCGGTGCAGGCGTCCATTCAAAGCGAGCGGGCCCGCGAAGGGACCAAGGTCAAGGGCACGTACGAAGAGGACCACGACATTCCCATGTACGGGGACGGCATGAAACCCCAATATGCCATGCAGCACGAGGTCAAGAAGAGACGAGGCGTGAGTCCCCCTTTCCCGGCAGCCACCTGCAGCCTTAACCAGGCATCCGTGCCCGCAAGTTGCTAACTAGGGTGCTGCAGCGAGCCGCTCCGCCCGGGCGATGCCATAGCTGCAACAGGATCGACACACCCGAGTGGAGGCGAGGTCCCGACGGGGCTAGGACGCTATGCAACGCGTGCGGCTTGCACTACGCGAAACTGGAACGGAAGCGGCAACTGGAGGCGCGGTCCATACGGCCGAAGCCTGAGGACCGGTCATGAACGAGCGGAGGATGGAGCCTCCCACCAAAGACAGGCGCGGCCGGCTTGGGCGTGCCGGGACAACTAATTAAGCCTTGACGACTGCGGCGCCCGGCGTTCCTCTGTACATACTTTTCACCCTTCGGATACCTTGCTTGATTCTTGTTTGGCGGATGGGTGGCAGGCAGGCATTACAGGCGTTATTTTTGCAGCCATGTGGACTGGGACGGCTAGGGCAGGGCAGGACCTGTCTCTTATACACATCTAGATGTGTATAAGAGACAGGCGTTCCTCTGTACATACTTTTCACCCTTCGGATACCTTGCTTGATTCTTGTTTGGCGGATGGGTGGCAGGCAGGCATTACAGGCGTTATTTTTGCAGCCATGTGGACTGGGACGGCTAGGGCAGGGCAGGACGGACTGCTTTTCACCCGCGACCCTGGGATTCATGATTTGTGCAGTGGGGACCGGGACGGGACTGCTTAGACGAAGACAGATTTTATCACTAGTGAAGCCGCACGTCGCGGATCAAGACCCATGCAGGCAGGCAGGACAGGAAAGAGAAATTGGCACGCGGAACAAGCGTCGGAATCGTCCGTGCGGAGAGTGCTGGTGGTGGTGGTGGTGGTGCGAGATGGAGAGCTTTCTTTGCTCTCGGTTGCGACAATGAACTCTGCCGATGCAGCGATTGCGAATCATGATGGAGGGCCCCCGGGGGGACGAGGCACGCTCACACGCGCAGCCGGGGAAGCCTTCCGGAGATTGCGGCCTATGCCGGGACATGGTTCGCTTTTGTTGCCGCTTCCTTTGTTCCCCTTCTTTGCTTCTTTTTCCTCTTCTTTCCAACCCCCGCCGCCGGCCGCGCCCCCCCTTTCTCACATACATACATACTGTACTGTACACACACGCACGCACGCCCACATACGGTACGGAGTACTCCGCGCATCCTACATATGCACATGCATGTGCATCTTCCGTGCCCGAGCTCGGAACAGGGCGGCAGGCGCGGGGGATCGTGGGTAGATTTAGCGCCAAGGAGGGGGG